AATGGTACAACCACTATGGAAGGCTGTATGGTGCTGTCTCAAAAAATATACAATCTGACACCAGATGCTCTGCTGGAGAAGGAGGAAAAATCTCCTCCTGTACTAGTCAGATCTGATTTGACGGTACACACACACAAAATAATAAAAATAAAATAAAATTTTAAAAATGCCATTTGATCTAGCAACTCCACTACTGGGAATATACCCTAAAGAAACCATAACTGCCACCCAAGCAGATATATGCACACCCATGTTTATTGCAGCTTTGTCCACAATAGCAAGGAGCTGGAAACAATCCAAGTGCCCACTGACAAATGAATGGATAGAGAAGCTACGGTATATTCACACGATGCTGCACTGAAAAACAAGGAACTCATGAACTATTATACAAAACATGTGACCCTGAAGGACATTATGCTGAGTAAAATATCTCAGCCACAAAAAGACAAATACAGCATAATGCCACTGTTATAAGAAAAGACTGACATGGAGGCTGCGGGGAAACTTAAGAAAAGAGGGGATAAATAATCTGCATGGTATTCAAACAGAAGTGGGAAAGAACTGTATAAAAGGAAAGTATGATTAGGTATTATTGACATGACAAGAGTCCAGAATAAGAGATGCATAGTAAAGTGGTCTTGAGGGGTGGGAGTAGGGAACTGTTATAAAAATGAAAGAACATTTTTCCCCCAAGAAAAAAGTGATGGGGCAGGGATCAGGGAGGAAAATGTGCAACAATGGATGATTGGAAACCAAGTTTTTTTATAAACTTTCATTAAAATATCAATAAAAAAATAATTTCATGTTTGGTGAAGCTTTCCACAACAGGTCATATTCTCATTTAACAATTTCTATGTAAGTTGTTCTTAACAACAAGGATTCACCTTATTTCCATTCTGGTGGCTCTGTTCTCATGAATTTCATATTCCTGCCCCTGTACACTTTCAACTTTGCTTTAAAGTAATTGGGTAAATCAGATGGGTTTGTCTTGCTGAAAATAAAAATTGCAAGTCTATCTGAAATTAAGAACAGAGATTGCATTGTAATTGAGGGGTTTTTTGTAAAACAGGAAAACAGGAAGAATTTGCTATAATATGTGTTAAAGAGCTACATAGTTAGAGAAGTCAGCTAATTTTTAAAAGTCCCGATTGATTGGGTTCCAGTGGATGGGGCAATGCTTGCATCGTTGCGGGTGTCAGGGTCTTGGTGGACAATGAATGTAGCAGTTAGGTTTTTTTTCAAGATGAATCTATTGGACAGGATCTTTTTTTTTCTATAATTATATTTTATTAATTTTCATAAACATTTACAGAGATTTTGGGCTTCCACTCATTCATTGT